TAGAGGGGTTATTTATAGGGGTGGAGAAATATGTTGAGAATGTATAATGACGTTTTGTTTGCGCGGAGCCTTTCTTCCCGTGTGAGCTGAGGTTGCAAATTGATCGAGGTTGCAGTAGCAGGAAAAGAACTTTTATATCGTTGAACCGTGATTTTTAAGTAGCAAGATACTTTTATTTCACTGTTCATCTTTGAAGCTTGAATGCACACATTGTTGCAGACTCTATTCTCGAATGCAACATTGATGGAAGCACTATTTCGAATGCAAAACATTGTTGTACGCGTTACTTTTGAATGCAACATTGCTTGAAGCGTTATATTTGAACGCAAACATTGTTGGAATCGCTATTTCTGATTGCAACATTATTAGAAGCGTTATTTCGAACGCAAACATTATTACAAACACTACGCTTGAATGTAACATCGTTAACTCGTATTATTTTCGAATGCACATTATTGCACGGTGCGCTGTTTTGCAACATTGTGATTCGCGCAGGCTCCTGAAAAAAGCACATTGTTGCAAAACGCGTTATCGGGTTTGTAACTTTGTCGTCGCGGGCCCCTCGCGAAATTTGCACATTGTTGCACGACACGCCGCTTTGCAACAATGTGCATTTTCCGCGAGGGGCCCGCGGTGACAAAGTTGCAAGCGCGACCCCTGCGGCTGGTGTCGGTCGCATGATTCGCGAAAAAGTACAATGTTGCAAAAGGGGATATCGCGTTTGCAACTTTGTTGCCGCGAATCGTTCTCGAAAAAATGCACATTGTTGCACGAAGCGCCGTTTTGCAACATTGTGGCTCGCTCGGCTCTCGAAAAACGTGTTATTTTTGAAACGCAAGTATTTTCGTTTGTAACGCTGTACGACATGCTAAACATTGTTGTATGCAGTACTTTGTACGCAAAACATTGCCACAAGCATTTACTTCAACACTTGTGTTCAAATGACAAAGTGCTAAGCCACATTTTCAACTTATTCATCTATGGATAATGCAGCCTGTACGAAAGCACCTGTATGGAAAATATATGCATTAAACGTGTTCCTTATTAAAATAAGTTTTGTACTAAGTAGAAATTTCATCCCATTCGAAATGAAATATACTTACAATACAACTGAAACCTCCCAAAGTGTGTTCTCTTCTCTCAAATAAAGTTACCAATCGAATTCTTAGAACCCTCCACCGATTAACCAGCAAAAACGACACACAGAAATAATAATATCGAAGTTTTAAAACAGTACCGTTCATAATTCTTACCTACCTCTCGTACAATATCTTAAAGCAATTTACGAGCACATCAGTTTCCACGTCCATTCGATTCACCCTCGTGAGCAGCCGGGAATCGATCGCGGGGTTTGCAACTTTGTTGCCGAAAGCTGCTCCCGAAAATTGCACAATGTTGCAAAACGGGGCGTCGTGCAACAATGTGCGATTTTCGTCGACAACAAAGTTGCAAACCCAGAACGCGTTTGCAACAATGTGCGATTTTCGGGAGCGACTTTCGGCCACAAAGTTGCAAACCCGATTATCCGTTTGCAACAATTTGCGATTTTCGGGAGCGACTTTCGGCAACAAAGTTGCAAGCGCGATTACCCCTGTGCAACAATGTACAATTTTCGGGAGCGACTTTCGGCAACAAAGTTGCAAACCTCTAACGCGTTTGCAGCAACGTGCTTTTTCCGGGAGGGACTCTTGGCAACAAAGTTGCAAACGGGATAACGCGTTTTGTTGTATGCAGTACTTTGTACGCAAAACATTGCCACAAGCATTTACTTCAACACTTGTGTTCAAATGACAAAGTGCTAAGCCACATTTTCAACTTATTCATCTATGGATAATGCAGCTTGCACGAAGGCATCTGTATGGAAAATATATGCATTAAACGTGTTCCTTATTAAAATAAGTTTTGTACTAAGTAGAAATTTCATCCCATTCGAAATGAAATATACTTACAATACAACTGAAACCTCCCAAAGTGTGTTCTCTTCTCTCAAATAAAGTTACCAATCGAATTCTTAGAACCCTCCACCGATTAACCAGCAAAAACGACACACAGAAATAATAATATCGAAGTTTTAAAACAGTACCGTTCATAATTCTTACCTACCTCTCGTACAATATCTTAAAGCAATTTACGAGCACATCAGTTTCCACGTCCATTCGATTCACCCTCGTGAGCAGCCGGGAATCGATGGCGGGCATCCTAGACTATATGTATACAACTATGTTTACTAACTTAAAGTATAAACTAATAATGACTTTAACCATACATACTACACGCGCGCACATGGCTCACGCGTCCCATCACCTCTCGTCCATGCACTCCCACCATGCGCGCCCGATCATCCCCGAATACCTTCTAAGATTCCCGAACATTTAGTTTAATTACGTTACATTATTATATATTGTAAACATGTTACATTTATTTGAAAAATTAATTTGTATGTTGCGCAGTGAAAGAAATGCTGTAATTGAAATAAATGAAGAATTAAATGTTTCCGTCCACTTAACAACACAGCATCAGACCACAGACGACGTACAGAATAGACCTAGAATCTTATGGGACTTTTAGTCCGGGTCTTTGGGGTTAAGAATACCCTTACCATTTTCGTGCCGCTACCAACGTTACCGATTCAGCGTAGAATAAGATTACAACCAGAGACGACGTACAGGATAGACCTTCCACCTAATGTATTTTTGTGTCCAACGTTCTGAAATATCGATCGTGCAAAAAATCAGAGTTTTTGTTATGCCTTCCACGATATAAAGCGGTGAGTTTAGGAATTACATACAATCCAACGCAAAATCCAACGTAAAAAGTTGATAGATGTAAAAAATATTTTTTTATTAAAGTTGCATATAAATGTTGCATATGTGACGAATCATCTACTAATAAACAATTACGTTACCTTTTCATTTGAAATTTCATAGTTACGTTTAATTCCAATTCTAACCACTACTAATGTTGTAACCTTATTCTATGCTGAATCGGTAACGTTGATATCGACACGAAAATGGTAAAGGCCTTCACGGCCTTAAAGTCCCGGACAAGAAGTCCCTTTGGGAGGTTTCTGGACCAATCGTACAACTACACTGAACTCCTAGCGGCAATAGAACAATGCAAGCTGTCCTCGACACCAGGACCAGACCACGTAGACTACCACATGATCAAGCACCTATCGGACAAATTGAAACTGCTCCTTCTAGATCTTCTCAACGAACTGTATAACGCGCGACAAGTCCCACAGGAATGAAAAGAATCAAGCATCTTACTCATCCCAAAACACGGAGACAGTGGCCTCAGACTCATCACCCTGGCCTCCTGCATGTGCAAACTATACGAAAGACTCATGAAAAACAGATTAGCATGGTGGTGCGAATACTACCAGAAGCTACTACGGGAACAATCAGGCTACAGACAGAAAAGGTCCTGCATGGATAACATAGGAGTAATAACCACTATGGCAGACATAGGACATCTCACAAACGAATACACAATTGTTGCCTTTCTCGACATTAAAGGCATCTTTGGTAATGTACATAGCAGCATACTGACAAAAATACTCGAAGAAACAGACATAACAGGAAATATTCTGGGCTTCATATGCAACTGAATGCACGACAGGAACGCTCATTTCATAGGCAGCACGCACCTAGAGCAGAACTACAAGAATTTAAAAATTCACAAAGGACTATCGCAGGGTGGAGTTCTGAGCCCGCTGTTGTTCAACATCTACATAAGAAACATCACAAAACATATGAGAGGCGATGTCATCATCACTCTGTATGCCGACGACATAGCAGTAGTCACCCAGGACGCGGACCTCGAAAAACCTAGAACATCTCTCGAAGCAGCAGTAGATACAATCCGACGCAATCTCATTCGCCTCAACCTAGAACTAGCTACAACCAAAACAGAACTACTGTCCTTCAGCAACTCGCCGCACAAAACATCTCCAACCTACCTACACATAGGACGCGAAGTCATAGAAAGCAAACAGACAGTTAAATTCTTAGGTGTAAACGTAGACGCCAAACTTCAATGCAAGCTGCACACCAAACAAATCATCAACGGGTGCCACAAAATAATGAACAGCATTAGATTCCTGAGGGGAACATGGTGGTGAAGTGACCCCCAGACACTCATCCACATATACAACAGCCTGATAAGAGCCAAAATAGAATATGCCAGCATGTGGGCCGGAAACAACTCGAACAGCTACAAATAGAAGCACTCAGACTAGCCATGGGATACCACAGAACCACTCCCACAAGAGTTATTCTTGCAGAAGCCAAGGCTCTTGCCTTATCAGACAGAGCAATACAATTAGGTTCAAACTTTCTAATCAAGACACTCACAAATGGAGCTCATCCGCTCCTTCCAATTTTCCTGGAATTTCTGAAAACACAGAGACAACGCACAAACACAACTACACAAACACACCTCTCGATCGACGAACAACCACAATTTTCAATTATGTGGAAGAATATAGCACATTACTTTACATACTTCCAAACCTCCCCAGCAACATCACTAACTTCTCGATACAAATAGAAAAGCCAAACATAGACACGTACTGGCACATTAATCAGACAAGAAGCACATCCTGTAACAGCATATTCAAAAATCTCACAAGCACTAAATACCCCAAACACGTAGTAGTTTTTACAGACGGATCCAAAACAACACACAGTCCCTCAGACGGAGCAGCATGCATCTCGCCACAGCTCAACTGGGAACAAAAAATAGTTCTTCCAAAAGAGGCTTCCTCCTTCACAGCAGAATGTGCCACAATGGAACTCGCTGTGCAATTAGCCAACCAGAATTGACAGCACTCGTACCTCATCTGCAGTGATTCAAACAGTCTGATACAGAGTCTTCTTCGTACAAGATTTGAACAAAGCACAAACAGATACATAATAAATATCAAAACAGGTCTAAAAGCATTCCAGAAAAACACAGCTGGAAACTCCATCACACTCATGTGGATTCCATCTCACACAGGCATAACAGGCAACGAATTCGCAGACAAAGCAGTCAAGCAAGCAGCAACTCAAACACAAAATCAGAGCCTCACCGTCCCACAAAATGACATACGGCAGTAAGTACAACACCACATCAACCAACAAATAGAAAAACACTGGTTGGCAGAAAGCGCATCACAAGGTACAAACTATTTCAGACAATTCTACAATCCATCCAGGAAACCCTGGTTCCACAATAGAAACCTGCCCAGGCACCTGACGGTCTGTGTAAATAGAGCCAGAGCCAACTACTACAATTTGGCAGCCTTCCTGGCAAGAATGGGAATAACGCAGGACCCAGCCTGTCCCTGTGGTGCTCCCAACCAGGACCTGGACCACGTCCTGTGGACCTGCTCTCTGCACATTCACGAAAGAAAGACACTCACAAACAACCTAAAAAAGGAAGGCTGGCCTCCACCCTATAACACTCAATAGTTTTCAAAAGAACCAAAGATAGCAGCTGTCAAATATATAGACAAGTTCTTAAAAGTCATAAACATCTCGATATGACGAAACAGAGTGAACAACATAATAACCTTAACTTAATATTAGCACCTGAAACTACTCGTTACCTTAAAGACGAAGAGAGAGAGAAGATAAGAAAGGAAGAATAGTACAACTTTTTATAAAGGTCTATTTAAAATTACATCAGACATTATATATTTTATATAAATTTATAGCCCAAAACTGTTATGTATAAGTATTTTAGCTTATGGGCCGATTCCGTCTCAAAGCATCTTTCAAAATAAAAAAAAAAAGAAACCGTTTACCTACACTGCAACTTTCCTTCAAGCGGTAGAAGTATAGGATCGAAGAACAGTGGCGATAGCCTGATCTCCTATTTTTCGTTCATTTGGTTAGGCGATGACATGACAAGCTTCACCTTTGCTTTGTCGATTGGTATCTCAAAAGCCTCATCTTTGCTTTGTTGGCTTATACAGGGTGTCCCGTAACTCCTCGAACACCCGGAAATGGGGGGTTGCTGGGGTGACTCTGAACAACTTTTTCCTTTACCAAAATGTTGTTTGAAGCTTCGTTTCTGAATTATTAACGAAAAACACTGACCAATCAGAGCGCACGTAGAGCCCGCGCCCAGACACGGGAGCGCTGACTCTCATCTGCGCGCGATCGTGAACAGATGCGTACGCGTGACTTTTCGGTTATCGATCGCTGTCAAAAAATTTTGACTTTGCACCGCTATTTTTATAAGGCTTAGAGAAATTGTTTTTTGCCGTCATTCCCACGTTTGTATAAATTTTTGAAAAAATTGCAATTAGTCGGAATCGTGCGCGAATGAGCCTCTGTTCTTCGTCCCTGGGCGCAGGCTCTACGCGCGCTCCGATTGGCCTGTGTTTTTCGTTAATAATTCAAAAATGAAGCTTCAAACAACATTTTGGTAAAGGAAACAGTTGTTCAGAGTCACCCCACCAACCCCCCATTTCCGGGTGTTCGAGGAGTTACGGGACACCCTGTATATAAGATTTTTAAACCGTATAAATAAGGTTAAACGTAGGCAAAACTGTCGTAAGGTACAGTTAAATGTATATGCGTAGGCACATACCTTGTATATTTGTAGTAACCTATAAAGTAAGGATTCATTTGTATACTAGTATGTACCTCAAAATATTCGGGAGAAATCAAACAAACTAGATCGAATTCAAGTACACGTAAGTACATGTGTCTATTGTAACCAGGTATGCAAATACTACTGCTTCTAGAGGCTTGAATAAAATTTAAGGTGTACATTTTTCTTAAAAAAGAAAAAGCTATGTATCTACCTACAGTTCTACTGATCCTCTTCCTCATCGACCGTTTTAACAACGAACTAATCCCTCAAAAATGTTAAACGATGGCATCATAGTACGTTAAGTAATCAATTTGTTATCAAATGTCATTGGTAAAACTTAAAATTAAAAAAGATGTGTAACTCGCCTTACTTACCTTTTGTTTTAAAAGGTCTAGATGGCTGAGAATACCCTCGACAGCCGTTCTCGTTAATAGCTGCTACACGAAATTGATACCAATGTCCAGTTTTTAATCGTTCTCGAAGTGTTGCGTGCGATTTCGTTGAAACATGACGCACCGTCCAAGAGCTCAATCTAGATTCCAGATATCTTGGTCCAAGTAAATGTCTTTCTTCCACTAAATACCTTACACCGTTCTCTACAGCCGATTTATTTATAGGTGGAGTCTTAGAATTATGCCATGTTAAATGAACTAAATTGTTCTTCTGTTGTCTAATTTGTACATTTTCAGGAATCAAAGGTAAATCTGGAAAAATGCAGAATTTTGAATTTACATTACCATTTTACCGAAATAGAAATAAAATCGTTACGTACTTGTTTTTTGTATATCTTTTTCACTAATCATTATTTTACAATTCATCTCTTTCCCACAAGCATTTGTTTCACACTAAATCGTTATAATTTTGTTATGTTACAAAACAAGCGTATCATTCTAGACATTCTTAATGCGAGATTGTCAAATTTGCATTGATCATTGTATTAAGTCCACCGCTGAATTTTATTTTGATAAGTGTACGTTAAGAAAAGAATTTTTATTTATCAGCTAACACGTATGGAAGATATGAAGAAAAGAATTTCTAACGCATTTAAAAGCATAAAGGAAATGTTTACGGCTGTACAAGATAGCTTTAACCGGCATGTTTAAGCATGTATTAATGTTTAAGGCAATGTATTTTTTGTTCAGAGCATTTATGGGGACACTATCGCATTTCGTTTCGCCGTTGTAGTTTCACATTTGTCAATAAAGTCATGCAATATACGCCCTATCATTCTATTGAAAAAAAATATACCGTGTACTATTTAAAAAAATTCAACTGACCTTCAAATGACCTTAATGCCTCCACTAACAATAAGTAAATTTACACCTACAGTCCGTTCAACGAGTCGAGCCAGTGGAGGTAAACAAACGCACGTGTTTTGGGACAGTAACGTATCCACAAACTTCAGATACTGCAACACTAAACCTGAGAATCGAAAATTTAAGGCTTTCACGGCCCGAAGCATAATTATTATTGAGGCTTTCGCGTGTAAACCTTGTCCTTATGGAAAAAGTATTCTGACGTTTCGTAAGCATCAGGGTTCGTGAAACACACTGATAATGAAGTATGTTTAAAGGAGGTGTATTATTTATACAAAAACTCGTGTTCCGGTTCAATTAAAAATTAAAAAGAGCAATTAAAAGAAACGTCGGAATACTTTTTCCATAAAGACATGGCTTACACTCGAAGCCTCAATAATAATTAAACCCGAGAAGTGGAAACAAGCCCTAACACTGACCCATGTAAATCCGATCCTGAACTATCATTCGCCAGCCAATAGCTAGAGTCCCTTGCATCTATCACGTGTTTAGCACGCGAATGTTTGTTTACCTCTACTAACTCGAGTCGTTGGACGAACTACACGCTTTAGCGTCCCCTTTTATCTCTTTTAATCTCCCAAAAGAAAGTTTCTCAATTCAACGTACTTTCCGAAATATAAGCATTTATAGATTAAAATGGGACATTCTGCATAACAGAATATACATGTGTAAAGAGATATAACGACACAATATGCGTGGGCTGTCTGAAAAGTAAGGTATTTCTGCGCATGTCCGTAAAAATGACAACTACGTAAACCCATCAACGTCTGCACGTATGTAGGTTATTTCTGTTGTTTTCGAACAATTGCTGTTTGTTGCAGCTGCGTCTTCTAATTTTGCACAGGAATTATGAAAATAGAATATCTGTTAAAAGAGTCGTGTTCATTTGAACACCATGTTTCTGATTTCTGAATTTTTTGATTATATTGAATGCGTTTAATTTTTCCAATTCTTTAATTGTGCATTTAAAATGTAATTATACTGGACTAATCACCAGTGTTTGTAATTTAAATGAATTAATATCGTTAATGTACATTTCGATGGATTTAATTTGCATAAATGATTCAGCAAATAAGTACGTAAGTATAAATTTGAACACATATAAATTAAAAGAAATGTTATTCCATAAACAAACATTGCTTATTATTGGATATTAATTACTTGTAATGTACGTTTCTTAATGTACATATATGCATCAAGTAAATTTTATACATTTTTCTTTTTTGTGGAGACTGTTTGTATAATAATCGAAAATGAATAAATTAATTTAATTTAATTACAAAATTGAAATTAAAACGAAGAAAAACTTAAGAACAAAACTGAATACCTACCAGTTCTATTGTCTAAACCGATAGAATGCATACATGTGACGCCACATTCGTGCTTGCAACATTTCGCTAAATCTGGACAACGAGAGTCGTCATCACAAGTAACTAAACAAACAGCTTCAAAGGGTGACATGGATGCCTTATCAGGACAATGACCAGGTTTTGTATAATTAGACCCCAAGCATTTTTCCATACACTAAAACAAAATAATAAATCGATCGTTATATAGGGTGGGTCGCGCAATTGCCATTGGCTATATTTTTATAGCTATAGGTCTTATATGATTATATAATACTAGAGGCCAAATGTACTGGCCAGTCAAGGTCACTTTTGAACTATTATGTGCATTTATTACTATAACATGTCTTTGACTTTTCTCTTTTGACAATAAGGGATCCTTCGTCTTTTCTTTTGACATAGCTCAGATATTGAAAATAGTACAATAAAAAATAATTTTCATGTTTGTATGTGTGTGCTGCTGTAGGTCAACGAACGTAGTATATAACTTACAATTAGGACAGAGCGATAAAAGTCGACAACTTTGTAGGTGACAACTACGAGCCGACCAGAACATTTGGCCTCCAAAATAACAACAGTTATTGGTAGAAATAATAATAGAAAAAGTCGAACAATTTTACAAAGCCTATTTTCCTAAGACCTTATTCGTTTTATGTAACAAGACCTGATGAAGTTCTACTTTTTAATATTTAATATTTCTTAATATTTTTTACATAAACAGATTCATTTTGAAAATTATAAAAATGTAATTTTTTATTCTGAAAATTAATAATTCACAATATATTTAAATATTCACTCTTTCGGTTCTTATTTATAAACACTTGGGAACGCACTATCTCATATTGTATATTGTACTTCAGATGTATGTATGTATTCATGTGGTAGACAAACCGCTCAGGTTTTGTCTAAGTAACAATTTTTATTGCAATTGATAGACTGCTATAATTCAAGAAGAATCGTGTACAGCCGATTCGCGGAGTAATAGAATTGAGGGGATTGTAGGAGAGACGAAGGTTAAATAAGCCGTACTCTACACACTTTCAAACTTCGTTTTACTTAGGCGCGGCACGCGTGAACCTTACTCGCTAGTGCAAGTAAAAACGATGAATACACGAAACAGAATAACGATGGGAGGCGACGCTTGGACAGCACGACGTTCGGCCGATCGTCCTTTTCGACTGTCCCGTTTCCGCCGATCTTCGGGTTATATGCCCCTGTCCTTAGACAAGGACAGGGAGCAAGCCGCGCTACCGAAAAGCGCGGGACGAGAAAAAACGCGGGCGGAAAAGCGCGCGTAAAAAAAGCGCCAACTTTCTGGCGAGGGTTGGCTGGTCCGGAAAAACCCTGACCCGTGCGAATCTGGCTACCAGATGCGAGAACTGACCATAGCCAGACTCGCACGGCCTTAGCGGGGGGCTTACAGCCTTCATGGGCGTAGCTACAGAATGATAATGTGCTTTACTCTAAAGTTGAACGGGGAATTGAAGTTTCCCCGTGATGTTGAGACATGGGATTTTATATCGTAGAAAAGGAATGGTACCCGATCCAGAATTTAGGGATTCCCATGTCTTCTTTATCGTGATAGGAATGCTAAACTTCTTTGGGGTGTCTGGTGAGGTTCTCAATTTTGGAGCTTTTGCATTTGCCAAGAAACGTCAATGTCGCGGTCCCCTGCCTACTGCACACGTGATTGGTGGAAATGTAGCGTGAGATTTCTAAAGGTAGGCAGCGTCGGACAGATGCATCTAAAGCCTAGTCCAGACTGACAAACAATTGTTCGCAGACAACGGAAGACAAAATACAAGTCCAGACACAGTCTGCAGATAACAATTAGGTTAAGTTGGGTTCCAAACGAGGAAATCCTTGGATGTACGGTATGAATGGACGGATGAAGGAGATGGATGCGTGAATGATAGGATGATTAATTATGGAAATAGGATAGGGATTAATTTTTAGGGTAGATAAAAACTTAAGGTTAGTTTAAGGTTAGTTAAAAACCCTATCTAACCTCCTTTGGAAGGCGACTACTTGGTGTTCCCACCGGGAGGGATGTACCAAACAGAGGGTAACTGTCATAGCCGGTGTCAAATCCGGTTGAGAAAAGTAGAGAGGCTTAACCTTGGTACCCGAAAGTATTTGAAAGTGATGCCCTCCCCCAGCGAGCTGGATGAGGGTAACTATGGGGGTTTTAGAGGGTAAAAATCCTACACTACTCCGCCCCTCCAGGAGAGGCGGAGAGTCTATACAAGATTTCCTCCATGTAAAAAAAAACGGAAATGGAGCCTAACCTTAAGTCCCAACCGATCACCCAACATCAGATAGAAAGTTAGGCGGTTGCCTTGCACCTAGGCTGAAGGAAGTACCCTAACTCGGCGATGGTTTCGGAGAAGAATAAAAAGAAGGTTAAGTTGGGACTTGGGACCGCGGCACTGTTGGGTCGAAGTACTGAGATGCCAGTCCCGACTGGACGCACCGGCAAAGTGGAAAAAACACTTGAAGGGGTGCACTGGCCAACGCGCTGTCGGGCGGTACTGCTCAGTTTGGAAAACTGGCTGGACCGTTGCCAGGTGCAGCTCACTTATCGCGTGACTCAATGAGTACCT